GAGAGAGAGAATGAGAGAGAGAGGGAAAGAGAGAGAGAGAGAGAGAGTGAGAGTGAGAGAGAGAAGGAGAAGGGAGAGGCAGAGAGACAGAGAGAGAACGAGAGGCCAAGACACCTTAATGTTCTACACACCTGTACTAATTATATACGAATACATAACACTGGCTAGATTATTTCGATGAACACCCATAAGACCCCTAATGCACTTCTAGAAAACCCAAAGTTCACCTAGACTAAATCCCCAGCCCCCAAAAGCAACATCCCGCGCCCAGGCTGGACCTGCTCTTTCCCCGGCTTCCTCGTGAGGTTGAAGGCTTGGCCAAGATATTTCAAATCTCCACGAAAGCCGACTGGGATAAAGTACATCGTCTTAGTCTCGGGTTACTACAATACAACTTAATACTTTGCCAAGGAATTATTTCAGTGCATCACTAAAAATGTTTCATAGAAACAACAGAAAGAACATTTAATGGCACCTCCAAGATGCACCTACATCAGTTTCAATGCCACGATGAATCAAGTTGTTGATGTCCGCAACAACTGCTGAATTCATGCCTTGCAGTGTCATATTCGTGGTTTCCTCCACCCAGTACAATTCTGTAGGAATGGAATACATGATGTAGCGGCTCGCCTTTGAGTTTGAACGGTAGCAGGAAAGGTCGGGAGTCCTTGGCTTTTAAAGCTTATAAGGTCCAGCTTTTTTCGACAGCATACTAGCATGTGGGTTTTAGGCTTCAGGGTCAGTACAGGGTGTACACAAGAAACCTAAATTAGCACCCACAACTATAGCATCTCCTCCAAGCATAGATTCCAGCTGGTAACCATCCAGCTTCGCCGTGTAACTGTTCCTTCATCGCCACAAAGCACTATCGGCACACACTGAGCCATATCCCGCCCGGCTGCGTACTCTTGAAACCCAGGGCCCATATCATGAGCCATGCGTTGCCAATACTGTCGCAACCCAGCAGGCGTCGCCGACACCATCGTGCTCAGAAAGCCAGCTTGGATGAGGGCAGAGGCCTGAGCCGGACATTAAGGGATGTTATTGTATGTTGATGTTTCTCATAATTGCCTAAACTTCAAGTAGCCTGAATCTCGGCCAGACACCATATCCGAAGGCAAAATCAAAGGCATGGATTCAAATGCCATTGCATCAGCACTGCACACAGGCACTGTAGTCCACGAGAGGTTTGCTTTCAGTGCGTGACCAGATTTTGCAAGTCGGTTGTGAAGCTCGCCTTCTCGTAGGGGTCGCGAATCATAGCCACTGAGGAAACCAGATCCATAAATGTCTCCTGCATCAGGTGTTTCCTAAACCACAAAACCTGCAGTTGTCCCCGACTTATCCTAGAACCTAGAAGAAAACGACGGAGAAAGCACGCTTTGAGGGCTTATGAGGGTTTAGGGACTTCGGAAGCAGGAGTGTCGGGTCTAGGGTTCAGCGCTTTAGGGAATAAGGTTTAGGGGTTTAGGGACTTTGGGGGCTCCCAGTTCGCACGCCAAAGTGATTGTATTGTCGCCACCAGCAGTAGACCGAGCAAGCCTTATTTGCGGATGCAACAGAGTTTAACTCCTCATCCACACGACATCACTTTTGATTGAATAGGATTAATGCAGGCCAGCTGCACATTGTCCAGCTTTTGCTGTATATCAGGATCCTTGCTTGTGCGCCTGGTACCTGCCCGGTTGCAACTAGTCTACACCACCCAAGACGGTTTTAGCTCTGACCCACACATGTAGCAGAACTGGAGTGTGATTTTGCACCAGGCATTGAAGCTCCAAGAACTCTACCCCACACTGCTCACCCGTGATGTCACAGGGACCCCGGAGAGTGAGGCGAGCTCAAAGCTGCACAGACTCAATGCTGCTGGTTCACAGCCAGTGGACATATAAGATTGGCCAAGGCATTTGCCACCATACCTTCTAGCAAGTATCCTGTACTTCGGCTTTAGTTTTCTATGCCATCGGCCATAGGCCTCGAAGATAAACTGCAGATCGCATCCTCGCTTTGCGAAGCTCACGCCTGCTTGCGAAGCTCGTTCACTAGTCCCCGTGCTTGGGCCTTCTCCAGGCCCAGCGCTGCAACCTTAAGACTAGAATAGTGACTAGATGCATCGAAGCACACCAAGCACAACACCCATCAAGCCTAAACAAATCCTAAACCCCTAAACCCTTAAGCCAAACCCTTATAAGCCCTTAACCCTCAAGCCCGAGACCTCACCCTTAACCCAGGAAGCCGTGTCGTGGATCTGCTGGCACAAGGGATCCATCTCCGCGGAGGTCTTCAGCTCCTTGAACCTTATATTAGGGGATTGTTTTCATTGGCGAACAGGTAAGCTTGGCATATCGGGTTTTAGGGTCAGAGGATACTACCGATCTCATTCCGTTCGGGAAGCTTTAGGGCATACTTCTTCAGCTTCTTCTCGAACTTCAGCAGAACTGTCCTCGTGTCGGTCTCCTTGGTCGAATCGCCCAAATCGAGCATCAGGTTGGACAGGCCATTGACCTCCTTCTTCAGCTCTTGGCCTAGGTATGCGGCATAGAATGATGTAGCTTCAACCTTGTGTTGAAAAGTCTCTCATTGTAAGTTTAGGGTTTAGGGTTTAGGGGTTCGGCTTCAGGTTTTGGGGCTTTGCGAGTTTGTTGGGTTGAGACTGGAGACTCCATTTCTGATGCTTTTCCTCATCCGACTTGAAAACTTCGTTGAGCAGGCTTGTCTTGGTTTTTGTCGTTGTAGCAGAAACCACAGATTTGCCACCACGTTTGCTCGGCTTGGAGCGGCCGGAGCCACCACCACTGCCTTAGGCTGATGCACAGCACAAACACCCTTGTATTCTCGCTGTATTCACACGACCCAGACAAGCAACACTTCGAAACTGCCTGCTGAAGGTCGGTGTTGTACTTGTCAAAGGCCTTGAGCACGTCCCCATTCAAGGGATGTGCTGAAGTCGGCGGGGCACTTCGGTGCAACACCGACGGCGAGCCATTCGATCCTAAGCCAGCCATAAAAGCTTCATCGGGTGTCATATTCACCTTCATCTGCGCAGTGATCCTGAGTGTTGAGCACAGATTTAGGTAGGATTGCACGCACACATCCATCATGCTATCAACTAAGTAGCTTTGCTGTTTCCTCTTCGACCTTCTCGCGGTCCACCACGACCCAAAATCGCGTAAGGGAAAGATTGTCAGGGCTGTGTTCGTCTTTTTCCCCTCCTCCTTGGGCAATAATTCCTTCGATCTTGTCCCTTAGTGTAGATAGAAACAAGACCATTTTCATCTAGTCTATATGATCATGTACATCGTGGACAGCTAGGGCACTGGGGGAAGTTGTACGGCGGCTTCGGCATGTCGCACACACGAAGCTGCTTCCACACCCGCCTGCCTGTGAGGCTTTGCTCTTTTAACACAATGAGCTCTGCTTCGCAAGCTTTGCAATTTCCGCCATGAGCAATGAACTTTCTGAGCAGCTTGTTCTTCTCCTCGAGCACACAGGATCACCATGTTGTGGGGGGTCACCACTCACATACCCACACACCAACACACCACACAACACACAACACACACACACACACACACACACCCGCGCACACACACACACAGAGACAGAAGGCAAGCAGTCCTGGAGGTTGCCTTCCCACATTTGCGTCATCTCCGGAAATGTTGCCAGCTTGCCCGATTCGGAAAGTCGGTTCTTAGTACAAACAACCACAAATACATCCACTCACCGAATCCCTGAAATCACGAGACCACAATTCACAATTGAGCCCAGAAGCAAGTCTGGCATACTCCTTCGCATGGGTGGCACTGTTGACCTTTCCCTCAGGCTCCTTGGCATCCGAACGTGGCGGCGCCTGGGATGCAACATCTGGTAGAGCGGCTGGAGCAGCGGGTCGAGCAGGCGTAGCAACAGGTCTGGCAGGTGCAGGGGCCACAACCTTTGGATAGTCACAAACAGCCTTGGGCAGCGGTTCAACACCCTTTGCTGGGCTCTTTGTTGGGCTGGGAGTAGAAGCGAACGACTTAGCATTCTGTCGATGCAGCATATCCTGCAATTGTTGGTTGTGGATCTCAAGCTGTTGCATCCTCTGAACCAACGAGTTCAGGGTACAGGCAGTAGAGGCATCCGATCCAAGGCAACTCGCTGCAGGCCCAAGCCTCAACACAGCGACACTGGAATAGGATAGAACAAGGGCGAGCACACCACAGATTAAGCTCAGTAGCGTGGAGCTGGAGTTGGAACGATGAACGGGACTGAGGCGTTCGGACTTGGCAGCGATGCTTTGCTGGCCCAGGACAAGGGTAGATGTGGACCTCAATACTAAATCCTATAAACCCTAAATCACAAATTAAACAGAGTAAGGCTAAACTGCCAACTGTGTACCCAAAGCTAAAACCTAGACCCTTTAAACCGAAGCATCGTAGCTAGTATACCACCACAAAGAACAATCTGAGTCCCACTAGATCATATACAGTGTAAGCCTGGGGCCTAGGGTTCATAAAGAGTTTCTGCGGCGACTTAATATACATAGATACAGCTACAAAAAGTTGCTCAACACGATGCCTTTTCATGCTTGTGCTAGTATACAGATAAGTGACAGGACAGACTCGTCGTCCATGACTTGGGTTTCGTCTTGGCTTGGATCATGGGGCATGCTCGGGTTGTTGCGTGCTGGTGCGGCAGGTTCGGCGGTCCTCTCCTCGTGTCCTGCTGTTGGGTTTGTGGCTCCTTCCATGGTGCCCTCCTGTGGTCCTGCTGTTGGGCTTGTGCGTCCTTCCATGGTGCCCTCCTGTGGTCCTGTTGTTCGGCTTGTGGGTCCTTCCATGGCCTTGGTGGGCCCTGCTGTTGGGCTCGAGGCTTGCTCGGCGAGTATATCACTGAGCTTTGTTTCCAAGCGCTCCCCGTACTTGTGCTCCCAGTAGTCGTCCCAGAAGCCAGGTACTCCGCCTCCCAATCGTACTCCTCTGTTGAGCCTTCCCACCAATCCCCTGACTTGTCCCAATCCTCGTCACCCCACTCCTCTCCCCAGCCCTCAGTCTCATCCCACGGCTCACCATCGAGGTCCTCGGCCAAATCAGTGGACTTTTGCTTCTTGAGCACCTTCTCCTTCTCTGTGCCGAAGAAGTCAGCAACATCCTGCGCATTGGCCGGAGCAAAAACCAGCGACTGATCGTCTCCGCTGCAGGTCTTTGCCCTCTTCTTGGACGGCTTTGTGCTTTCAGACTCGGGGGCAGGGTGCTTGTTGGGGGGACTACCTCTGCCACGGACTCGCGTCTTGGGCTCTCCGGCATCGGCCGCCTCTCCCTTGAGAAGCTTCGAAGGCTTTTGCTTCGGGACCGGGCCGCTGGGCAAGCCCTGTTGATCACAGGATTGTTTCCATGCAAGGTACACAGCAGTGGCATCCTCACGTGTGAGGCCCTCCTTTTTCATGAGCTTCTGTATGGTGGTACCACAGAACTCGGTTTTCAAGGGAACCTCAAGATCGATAGCTTTCGAGCTGCCACGCCCATTCTTCGCCTCGACCAAGGCACCTTTAAAGGCTTTCCCTGCCTTAAGCACCTTCCCGATGTCCTTTCCCATTGGTAGATCCGAAGGCACGGTATGGCCTATGTGATTGAGCCTTAAACACAGGATTTTAGAGTACGTGCAAGCCAGATTTTTGAGGAACGTGCATTTCTACGCTTTCGACGCGGTTTTAACTAGCATTTCAGGGGATTTTAACTAGCGCTCGAACGTTTTCGACGCACCCCCCTTTTGTCCAAGCCGACCTATTGTCGGAGATCCTGATGACTTGAATTGCCCAGCTAATGTACAAAGAGAAGGTAGCGGGTACGTTAGATTATATTATTACATAGGGGACACTCGATATAGTAGGTTTTGTGCCATATGGTCATGTACCCAGCTAGGCTACTTATACCTCTTAATTACTCGAGGACAGAAACACCAAGCTAGTGATATCACACGTGGAGGATCACCGCGGCGGTGGCGAACGGGAGACATCCTTGGACGAGCAGACAACCCCTGGCTGCATCATTGACCCTGCTCTGGTAGACATTACTATATATGGTTGTTACACACCGGGAGCGGTCTTCATAGGGCTCAGGGCGATCGCAAAATTTGGGGTGATGGCCTTCGGCCGTGCTTCAGCAGACCAAGTTTTGCTGCACTCGGGCGTGTGAGAAAGAGAGACAGCGACAGGGGTCGAGAAAGACTTAAAGACACGCCCGGTATGCTATAAATCCTTAGTTCAAAAACCCTTGAAAAAAATACCCTTATATAAACCTGCTGCCCTGAACCCCCAACCCTAAACAACAGAACCTGAGACCCCAAACCCTAAAGCTTAAACCCGGAACCCTAATCCCTATGCCAAGAGAACGAGTAGCTCGTTGCGTGCAAACACAACTTCAGAATACTACTTATTGTATTAAAACAGCCACGTAAGTGCAGGCTCGGCCCTCAACTTCGATCCTGCTTGGCCAAAGAAAGACCCCACCCACCAACCGCACGTCGTAAGCCGAGCATCATGCAAGCACCTAGTGCTCGACACCATCTTCTTGTCCGGTTTCGGGATACACCTGAGGTAGCGTGCCCACTTGAGGCCAAAGCCAAGCCAGATCCAGAAGCCCCGGAAAGCACACTCTGTAGACCCCATACCATAGAAATTGTAAGCACAGCCCATCGGTGATATCCCCACATAGCCCAGCCGAGATGCTGCTGGAGACGTTCGCGAATGCCCTCCTCAGCGAAGACATGGTGATCGAGAAGGCAGTTAACAACGATCCTACGTAATGACAAGATTCCCAGTGCCCAGGCAAAGATAAGTGCTTGCTGTAGAGCAGGTAGCCAGCACATTCAAGCATCATTGCCTCAAAACCCCAAGGGCCCAACACATAAGCTAGGGGGCTGGCTGCGATACACGACCAGAAAGGAGCACTAAGTCTACAACCGTATCGCAGATCGGATCGTCCCAATTTCCAGCATCCAGCTCGGCCATATAAATTTCGAAATCGGTCTTCGACCAATCAATCGATACTTCCATCCGAGGTTGCACAGGCCGCACCTCCCAACCGCAACAAACACTGAATTACAAAACATTACAATAATAAGACAGCACGAACAACAAGAACACATACCCCCCAGCACCACCAGCCATCAGCACCGCCACCAGCATGGCACCACCACCCCGCACAACCACACAAAGAAGCAACCAATAGCAACCCCAGCAAGAGCAGCAACAACAACAACCACCAGCAACCACCACCACGACCGCCACGACCACCGCCACCACCACAACACCAACACCAACACCAACACCAACACCAACACCAACAAGACCAACAGCAATATCAACAGCAACAGCAGCAGCAGCAATAGCGGCAGCAACAGCAACAGCAGCAGCAACAACAACAGCATCAGCACCAACACTAACACCAGCAGCAGCAGCAGCAGCAGCAGCAGCAGCAGAGCAGCAGCAGCAGCAGCAGCAGCAGCAGCAGCAGCACCGCCACCAACAACAACAACAACAGCAACAACAGCGACGATAGCCACAAAACAACCACCACCGCCAGCACCACCACCACCAGCAGGATGAGGAGGAGTAGTAGTAGTTGTTGTTGTTGCAGTAGGTGGTCCAGGGCGAGGAAGTGGGGGGGAGGGGGAGGAGTTTGTGGGTCCCGAAACAACCCCGTTTGGGGACCCACAAACTCAAGGGCGAGGAAGTGGGGGGAGGGGGGGGGGAAGTTTGTGGGAAACACCCCCCTTTCGGGACCCACAAACTCAAGGCCCCAGAGCGAGCATCATCAGCATCAGCCGGGCAGGGGAGCGAGTTTACATTGTGGGTTGTTAGTAGTAGTACTAGTACTAGTAGTATAGTCTGAGGAGGAGGAGGAGGAGGAGGAGGAGTAGTAGTAGTAGTAGTAGTAGCGGTGGTGGTAGTATAGTAGTTGTAGTACTAGTAGTAGTAGTAGTAGTCGTAGTAGTAGTAGTAGTAGTAGTAGTACTACTACTACTACTACATCAACAGCAACAACAGCAGCAGCAGCAGCAACAACAACAACAACAGCAACAACGCAACAAGAACAACAACAACAACAACAACACCAACAACGACAACGACAACAACAACAACGACGACGACGACGACAACGACGACAACAACAACAACAAAAAGACTAGCCGAAGCACAGCAGCAGCAGCAGCAGAAGAAGCAGCAGCAGCAGCAGCTGCAGCAATACACAGGGCAGCAGCACCTCAGGTTCACGTTGAACATATGCTGCAATGGCTTGCGCAAACTTCGGCGGGTATGTCCTTATGTGACCGAACACACAACGGACATAGCCAGGAGAAAAGATAACGGTTGGATTACAAAGCCCATAATTTGCAGCCTAGTGTCTGGCTCTGCTTCAGCAACTTTCGGTCACCCGTAAATTTTTTCTGGTTGCGGCGAACAGCACTGGGGTGCGTTGATACATAAGCATTCTGGCGCGACAACTTTAGCTTCACAAGAGCAGCTTTGTCTTTCTGAGCGAGAGTACCAGCGACAGATTCCAGGTGTTGCACCATCTCGGAGTCATTCGAGATTGCAAAATGTCTTTTTACAGATGGGGCCCCGAAGTGGCACATGTACCAGAAGCCACGAAAAACCTGGGTTCATCAAAGCAACCATGAAAGCCATCTGTCAGACTGCAACAACTAACCTGCAACACTGATATGCAGCTACGCAGCCGGACACCGCCGACAAATGTGTTCAAAGGCTGGGCTATCCAGGAAACAGGATTGCGCCGGTTGCTCCAGCAGATACCGAACATTTCTCCAATAGAAGATGAACAAAAGCAAGCACATTCGAGAAGCAAAGACATTTCCACTGTGCACAAAGCCATAGCCATTGTTGCCCTGCGGCTTGATGACCGTCCGGCCCGATGTCGATCGTGACCTTGCACACTACATAGCTAGCATTGGTGGCCTTTTTGTGCATGGCACAAAGTGTTAAACTTGAAGCTAGTAAGCACGGCAAGGCACATGATACTGAAGGAGTTGCACATGAGACCAATGACAGCAACACCAGTATCACGTCTCAAACGTCGAGCTTCGTTCAGTGCTGTCCTTACACAGAAGCAGAAAGCAGATCGAAACAAGTTTAGAATGCTTGGGCGCTCTTGTGTTGCAGCAAAGAATCAGGTATCCAGCCGCACTTAGCAAATCCATGTGAACTGGGCAATGCTCAAGTTCCATTGATTCACCACGATAGCCGATGGCCTTGGAATCGCCAATGAATAGAAAGTCTTCAAAACATACACCGCCCGAAACAACAAGAAGAGCTTAAGTCAAAGCACACGCAGGCTCCTTCCCACTTCATCTTCGCCGGCAAAGAGGTGGAGAAAATCGACGTCCTCTGAGGCAGAGCAGAGTGGTGGTAATCAGGCAGCCATAGATTTCTCACCGCTTATTGTTGGCCGTGGTTTACAACATATGGCATAAGTATTGAGGAAGGAACATTTACGATTTCAGTACAACCTGGGGTAAGGGTTTAGGATTTAAGGGTTATGGGGTTTAGGGTTATGGCCACGGCAAAAGTGTATATTCTTCATGGCAACCTGGAGACTGATTCGGGCCTTCAGCCTTGCCGTGCCTTGTTCAGGGCATTAGACTATGTCCACGGTTGCAAAAACAACCTTGTAGAGCCTTCTAGGGTGTGGGGTGGAAGGATAGGTTTATAGGGTTGGGGGTTTCGGGGAGTTCAGGAGTCTGAGAGCTCAGGCTCCCTACAATACAGGGTCTCAATATAATCCCTTTGAATCATGTGACTGAATCGTTTGCACTAACATAAGACTATCCAAGCCCATAGCCCTCCCCTTCTAACTTATAACCCTGAACCCTTAAAACCTCCCGGGCCACCGGCATCAAGAGCATGAGCCAATCTGGGATTCGGGTCGGGGTTTCCTTATGTCTGTCTTCTCGATAGAATTTGAAATCCCAGGGTCTGAGTATTATACACAATTATTTTCGGGTTTAGGGGCTTAGGGTTTGGGATTGCGTGGACACTGGGGCTTAGATTAAAGGCATCTGAAATTGCCCAACCCACGACCCTATACACCGTCCTCATCCTGCAGCGTCTTCTGGTGAAAGCCGAGGAGGAGCAGCACGGTAATCAGTTGCAAAGGGGCACCCCAATGCAACAGTTCAGGAACCATGTTTCACACTGCTTGGGCTGTCTGAGCAAGACAGACGCACAACAAACCAAGATTACGCTCACATGTGCCCTATAGAGTTTCTGCCCGACATGAACTGCAAGTCTGTTTTTGGCAGCAGGCAGTGCTGGCACAGATACCCCACCCAGCAACAGAGGCGCTCCCATCGAATTTGCAAAGCATCTTACACAATCAGATGAAACGTCGTTTCTTCATCTGCGACTCACTCAAGCCCGAGAGAAGGGTTGCTCTCTTCTTGGAAGTTTTCCACATAGCGGCAGCCTCATTGTACGAAGTACCTTTCTTCTCCCTCATGCGGTTGATGAACTTGAAGCGTTCCTCCCGGAATTCCCCCGGCTTGTAGAGGCACTGAGGGTCAGCAGGTTTGTTGCTGTCCACGGCGATGCTTTGCTTTGCAGCTTTGTGTGTTGCCTTTGCACAGGAAGCTTTGCTTTTCTTGCACTTCCGGGTTTCATTTTCATCTGCTTCAGCATGCTGCAATGGGATCTCATCATCATCCTTGCTCCACCTCAATAGAGGAGAGCCAGAGGGCATTCCCGAAAACTCTGACCACACTTCATCCCACAATGCTTGCAAGTAGAGCACTGATCGCTTGGCAGGATCGCCTCGCGCTGGAACATGGAGACCTTCTTCAAGTTCTCCAGCACCTGGGATTTTCTTATTGGAATTGTACACCTGCTGCACTGGGGTTTATAGCATACTTACAGGTTGCAGGTATGTTTTTAGGCTTGAAGTGTTTTCACGTCAGATTTATTCTGGTGTTTATCTGATCTTTTTGCGACTCAAGAACCTTAGGCGGAAGCAGCCTCCCACTTCCAGTGGGCAACCCCGCATCCTCAGTAGCCTTCAGCTTCTCCAGAATTCCATTCAGTCGAGGATTCATAAGGCATTCCCTGAGTATACAGCTAGCAGCTAGCATATATGGTCACGGAGCAGACAACATCGCAGCTGTGACTACAAAAGATGTACAGCCAACCACATAGTGGCCTCTGGGGCTTGCGTGTCTTTGGCAGGGCATCGTCCGAGACATCCTGAAGTATTGCACTTTCGGGAACTGAAACCGAGATTCAAATGACATCACAAGCATCACCCTATAGCATGACAGGCAAGAAACATCCTCCAAATGCTCATTTGAAGAAAGTGCCCGAAGGGTCTCGTCCTCATCGTGATTGCCAGCCTCGGACTCCTCGGTCTCGGCATCATCTTCATCCGATGGCTCCTTGCAAAGCTTTACAACCAGAATTGTGTTTTACAGCGGTTGCTGCTCAGCCAAAGCAATGTACAGTCTAGTTTGTTGCCCTAAACTCTAAACTAAACCCTAAACCCTAACACGCACTCTGTACACTAAGAGTCATTCTCATCCGGTTCGGCCGGCTCGGGGACTTTGAAAAAGCCATAGTCTTTGAGCTCGTTCTTCAAGTTGTAAAGAACAGAATGCCGGGCACTCTTCGATCGTCGAGCCAGCTCTTTGAATTTGCTAACCTAAGTATTGGGCAATGTGCTAAAGATCTATGGCTTGCTCCATACTTGTGTGACAGTATGACTCTTCAGATTGCTTCCAGGATCCAGCTTGCGCAGAGCATTAGCAGCTTTTGTAGCATAGTCCACAACTGCTGGAGTTGCAATTGTGACTCCACGTGGCAGACGCCCGCTTTCATTAAAGAGATGTAGGATCGCATCATTCAGCACATAGGCCGAAAGCCTGGTCCGGTTTTTCGAGGTGCCCCGGACGACTGCCGCGATCACCTGAGCAGCAGAAAGGTTTGAAGAGATCTCGCTAGGGTATTTATGAGGGTGTAGGGTGATGTATTCTTGTAGGGCGGGTGCTCTTTTATGAGGGTTTACATAGTATGGAGGCTTCTAATACCAGAGTGCGAAGTAAGGAACTCGCGGGTTGGCAATCACATCTTTGCGCGTGACATACTTGCGATTCTTCATCAATTGTCCATTCGGGGACGTGTCTGCAACGATGTTCACACCCACCTTTGATGCTCAGGAAGCACGACTAACATGTGGCTGGTGTGCATATACACATGGTAGCTATAATGCTAGCTGGGAACATGTCTCAAGCTTGCCTCTTTGGCAAGCTCACGCCCAATCCTGGCAGCCTCCTTGCATGGTGCAAATTGCACCTTCTCAGGAAGCTTTGAATCCGCCATGGCCAGTAAAATTACCAGCAAAAGAAAACCCTTGGATTGAGCGCATCAGGCAGCAGGAGTCACTAAAGATTGTAGTGCGCATGTATACAGGCGTGCACCAAGCAAAGAGTAACACCCTGGCCAAAAGCTTGTGCAAAGCACCCCTGGGGGCTCTCGATGATTCAGCACAGTCGACCAGCTTGCAGATTCTCGGCCGGTATGGCCCAGGAAAACCAGTCGGCATAGAGCCCCCTGCGTTACATCACAGACTTTTACGAATACTTTATGGGGTTGACTTTTACGAATACTTTTTTGGGTTAAGGCCCGCATTACGTATTTCGCCGTGCCCTGCCTCGAACCCTTAAGCCGGCAGGGCCAGCATTGCTGGCAGCCGCAGTAGCACATGGAAAGGCACATGTACATGTTCGTTACTATTCTTTTTCCGAATTGTAGACTGTATAGAATGCTAAACACGATGTGCCTGAGATCGAGGCTTGGTTCAAGATTGTTTTTGTTGTTGGGGTCTCGAGGGTTCAAAGCTACATCACAGAAGCCTGCAGTGCCTTTCCCAGGCTTTGGCAAAATACATCAGACAGTGAGACTACATAAGTATACATGGGAAACACAAGACTCTTCATTGCTCTTCATGGTACACTCTGGCGCAAGTCGGATCAGTCGGTGCGCACTATATGTACCATTCAAGCTGACCATACACCTTTTCGGGTTTCGGGCTTTGGTTTGGAATGTGCAACTTCAAGTGATATAGGCAAATGTAAGGCCGGCTCCACGTCAAGAAGCCTCGCAGAATGCTTTTAAACTTCCAACCATGAATCACCACTCTAAAGGAAAAGTTTTAAGGTCTATATGTTCGAAGCTTATAGGGTATAGGACGTGGAGATTAGGGTGATTAGGGTTTTTTGTTTTTTTCGCAATCGATCGATCGGGTGAGGTTCGAGAGAACCTCAATGTGCCTGTACATAAATTTGTGTCCTGAATGCCCGCCAGCCAGGCCAAGGGGGGAAGCAAAAGTCACCAACTAATACTTCTTGCCATGTTGCGCTTGCAAGTGCTGCCAGATCTGCAGCACGCACACACTAAACTGCCAAATCAACTGATTTTAGAGGACATTTCAAACGCACGTTAAAATAAGGGTCATTTCGAAACGCTACCAGAGCCAGAAATAGAAGACATTTAGTCCACAAGGAATGTCCAGGAGTTTAGTGCTGCCACCCTTAATAGAGCCCTGAGCGTCGTAGCCTCCACTCCTGAAGCATTGAGCGGCTCATTGGGATCAAACTCCTGAAAATTCCCACAAATGCAGATCCGAGATTTGCGAAGACCTGCCCCGGCCTTTCTGGTAGCTACCAACTTGCCCGGAAGAACCTCACGAACAATCCCTTGCTCAATCAATTGATTCACTCGTTCCTCGCTAGTCACCTCAACCGCTTCCTTTTCCTTGGTGATAGAGTTGTACTCCTTGGTCATGCTTGGAATCCAATCTACCAGTTGCTTGCGCACTTCATCAAGTGCCACGGTTTTGGTCTGCAAGAAAATTTCTTGTTGGACATCGGCTTCCGTGTTCGCAGGGGATCCTAGGGTATGGTGGCCGGGAGGATTTAAGGTCGACATTGCCCTAACACACGGTGGATCAACGCAATCACGAAGGACCCGTTCCGCCAGCTCTAGGCTTTTCGCCCACTTAGCAGCCTGATCATAGGCCTTCACCAATGACATGTCTAAGCTCTCAGCAATCGGAAATAATGTTTGCTTCACACAGTGCAACTCCGAGGCCGCCTGCGAAGCTAAGCACTCAATAGACTCAGCAAGTACCTCTGAAGCTTCCAGATTCGGGAGCCACTTCAACTTCTAACTGAGCCTTTTCCTGCCTTCCCAAAATCCGATCAACAGGGAATCCTACCCCTACCAGCTCATCCAACTGTGCATGGGTGGCCTTCCTGATAGCTGACTTCGTGTGCCCTACCACTAGACATCTCCCATCCACGCATGCATC